ACGACAAACAAGGTAAACTACGTGTCTGTTAATACTTTGTCCACATGCAACTGTGAGAAAAACCACATATTTATGTGGTGAACTATTTGAGAAAATCACATATTTATGTGACCAAACTGAGAAAATCATATACTTGAGCAATACCGAGAAAATTATCGCAAAATTGAAAAAACACACATGCTCAGTGGACATCACTAACATCCGTTATCCAGCAAAAAGATAAAAACTGAATGAAAAGTATATGAACCTGAGCTGTCAACATCTTCATGGTGCCGGCAAGTGGGACCAGTCCAGACATCTTCGGTTCAAGCTGACCCCAACCAGCCCATGGTGAGTGCATGAATGATGTTTTCATGGACTGATACTAGTGTGGACATGAGACAGTTGACTGTGAGAAGTTAAAAGGTCTCATAAAACATGTGCCTCAGGAGATGGTCATGTTCATGCTGTTAACACAGGGTTTCAAACCCATTTTGTGCCAGTTTATTCATGAGTCTGCCATGTTTATCTGTCACAGAAGTTCTCACAGAAACTAAGTACCAGTGTATCCAGGGGCAACAGAGGAAATGTGATGTAAATATCTTCATCCAACAGTCATTGACATAGGTGATAATCACTGACAGCAACAATCATTGACATCAGCAAAACAATCACTGACACCAGCAACAATCACTGACATCAACAACACTCACTGACATCAGCAACAATCACTGACCTTCAATCAGAAATCTATTCTATAAAAAAGCCAGAACAATATATTTATGACATGAAATCACATGAAAAAAAATCACTAACACATCACTGGGGAATCCGTGAGGCCAATAAAATAGTATGAAAAACAAACTGTAATGTACTGATGAGCACTCACCAAACTGATTGTCACTCATAGAACTGTCTGTCACAGAAACTGACTGACTGTCACTCAGAGAAGTGACTGTCACTCAGAGAACTGACTGTCACTCAGAGAACTGACTGTCACTCACAGAATTGACTGTCACTCACAGAATTGACTGTCACTCACAGAACTGACTGTCACTCATAGAACTGACTGTCACTCACAGAACTGACTGTCACTCACAGAACTGACTGTCACTCACAGAACTGACTGTCACTGACAGAAATGACTGTCACTCACAGAACTGACTGTCACTCACAGAACTGACTGTCACTCATAGAACTGACTGTCACTCACAGAACTGACTGTCACTCACAGAACTGACTGTCACTCATAGAACTGACTGTCACTCAGAGAACTGACTGTTACTCACAGAACTGACTGTCACTCACATAACTGACTGTCCCTTATAGAACTGTCACTCACAGAACTAACTGTTGCACATAGATGCACCCCTGTCTCTACTGTTTCTTCTGCATATATGAGTACGTCAGTCAGTCAATTCTTCTGCTTCTTATTCTTGTCTAGTACAGTTTTGCCTTTCAGTATCAGGTGTTAAAGAGGCCTAGGTTACGAGCCTTAGTATGTGCTATGTAGATGCTGGTACTTAGATTCTCGGATACTCCATCTATCCACCACGTACATGGTGACCTCTAGTTCATCAGTACAATCAGTTTGTTTATCAAACTAACCACTAACTAACAAATACCGCTAGAATGATACAAATAAAACTGCTAGAAGAAATAAATAAAAAAACAAGCAGATAACAAAACGCACTAATAGTTGTAACTGAGCGAATAAAATTGAAATGAAAGCAGGAAAACGTAGATGAAAATCTAGTGCTGTCGATCCATGTTCTAAGGACCATACATTGAGTAATTCAATATCACATACCGACTGGAATCAATACTGTCTCATCACACACTGATATGTTCAATCTATGACATAAGATTATGTCAACACTGTCGCAACATACACTGACATGTTCAATCTATGACATAAGATTATGTCAACACTGTCGCAACATACACTGACATGTTCAATCTATGACATAAGATTATGTCAACACTGTCGCAACATACACCAACATGTTCAATCTATCATTATAAGACACCGTCTGTTGATACAATGTCATGTAATATGTTCACTCTATGAAAATGCTTTATCTCAACATTGTCCCATCATATACTGACATGTTCATTCTATGATTCTGGATTATCTCAACATTGTCCCATCATATACTGACATGTTCCTTCTATGATTCTGGATTATCTCAACATTGTCCCATCATATACTGACATGTTCATTCTATGATTCTGGATTATCTCAACATTGTCCCATCATATACTGACATGTTCATTCTATGATTCTGGATTATCTCAACACTGTCCCTTCATTCATTGACATGTTAATTCTATGATTCCTCTATTATCTCAGCACTGTCCCATCATACAATGACATGTTTATTCGATGACTTCAACACTGTCCCATCATACAATGACATGTTTATTCAGTAACTTCAACACTGTCCCATCATTCAATGACATGTTGATTCGATGAATTCAACACTGTCCCATCATGCACCAGTATATTCACCACATGAGACTGGATCATCTTGGCAGTATCTGGCAGCAAACTCATTTCAAACTTTAAGTGGACACAAATGCCAGACTGTACACACAAATGCCAGATTGTACACACAAATGCCAGATTGTAGACAAGGTTCAAACAAAGCTGAGTTGTGACTGGGTGTGCTAGAAGGCTAAAGGCAGGCTTACAATTACAGTAAAGGAGCCTCTAAATGTCTATGGTGCATCGAGCATATGATGCTAGACTGAAGGACAATTGGTGAGTGATGTGATCAACTTCATGCTGGCTGCCTCTAACCCTAGGACTTTGAATATGTACCCATTTTAGGCAGGGCCAACCAGAGCACCAGGGTCCTTTCTGAGAAAACAAACGTCAATGTGAATATGATCTCAAGACTTTCGGGCGGGTAGGTGACGACCTAGCCACTGTGCTACTGCAGCTCAGTATAGTGAGTGAAGTTGAACCCCCACTAGGGCCGTACACCAAACGATCAACACCCGGTGATGCAAATTTCCACCATTTAGATGAGAATTCCCCTGGCACTATGTAGTGAGTCATTTTCTCCTCATTAATTTATGCCCGATAGATGACGTCAGTAATAGATGTAAGACGAATGTTTTGACTGGCTGAGATAACACGAGATTTATGTCTTGAGTTTCACGAGAGACATCTGAAAGTCAGGTTTTATGTGAAACATGATTGTTCACAGGATTTGTGTGAAATGTGAATTATCACGGGCCAGACACGACTTTCAACAGTGGGAAATTCGTGAGAATGAATCCAGAATATTCTAGAACAGGATAGATCAGAGGGCTATATAATAGCGAAGAAAAGGTTTGTGAGCAGTCTCGTTTTTGGACCTAGGAACAGTGTGCATGGACAGCGGTGGATGATGTGTAGATTCAGCAGATGTTTTTGTGAGTGAATTTGTTCCAGTCCAACTTGGCGAAAAAAGCTGGCCAGTAATATGGTCCAGGGTCGTCTGAGTTTGTCGGTCAGGACAGCTGCTGTGTTTCGTTCAAGATGTTAGTGTGATTGTGATTTCTGCTTGAAGGTAATATGTGACACTTGCATTATAATGTGTGCCTGGACAGTTGTCAAGTTCATGTGCCGGCTGTGTAAGCCGCGAGTGGAAGATTAAAGTACTGGAACAGTACCGTGTGTTTTTTCCAGTCGTCCATTTTTTCTGCTCGTCGTGTGATGTCGGTTTTGTGAGTTGGCAGCGAGCGTGCGATGAGGCGAGCCAGTAGAAGATAAAAGAGAATCATCGCACACTAATCCCAGAAATCCCTTTCAACCATAAGGTTTATTATACATAGGCTCCCGACGGTTACAGATAAACCTGAAGTCCTATGCTGGGTAATCCTATGTAAAGCAGTCCAGTTTACAGCTAAGTCCTTTTATTAAAACAGCACTTGGTGCCAACAATGTACTGCCCTGGCTCATCCTTGTTATTTCTGTAGCAGGCATCAGAGCAGATACAGTGACATAAAATTTCACAAACGGTGTCTCCCTTCACAGCATTGGTGTTTCAGGTACGTGGTGTTAAACTCATACTTTTATAGACTAATGAGCATAGAATAAGTAACATTATGCCAGCCCCCTTTATTTTTCAGGACATTTCCTGAAGCCCACTCTAGACAGAAGTGACTGTGACAGTGGGTGACTCAGAGTTACAAACGTGTTCCCCCCACCATGATGAAACATGGCCGTACATGTCCCTGATGCTTGCTGGAGGTGAAGGTGATGATGTGAACTGGCTGTAGGTTTCAGTGACTTTCTACAATACCAGTCTCAGTGGCAGAACATACTTTCATCAGACAAAGTGACCATTTCGTTGATACTCAAGTGACCATTTCATTGAGCCCCAAGGCGACCATTTCAATGATCCTCAAGAGAGCATTTTGTTGACCCTCAAGTGATCACTTCACTGACCCTTAAATGACGGCTTAAAAAAAAATCTGCAGGTTGATCCATGATAGTGAAATAAACATCAGGAGATCAATATAAAGTCATAGTTCTCAATCTGCTACCCTGACATTTGTGGCTGTTGGTTTCGACTGATCTGTACTGGCACCGGAGCTCACACTAGAGCAGTCATATTGGAAACAAGTTTCCAGGAGCAGGCCTGGCCCACGGAGGCAGGACTGATGTTTCCTTTGAAGTTGCAAGCAAAAAACTAGCAGTCTGCACACAGATAAGCCAAATATTTAAAATGGATGTGCACACAAATCTAAAGTCCTCGAACGAGACCCAAGTCCACAAGTGGATAACAACCAGGACTTTCTGCTGGAGTTTACAGTTGGTGAACATGAAGGATAAGGTCTGTACGGTCACAGAAAGGAGACAAGTCTAGGTGTCCCAGAACAGACAAGTTGCTGTCTGATTTGGCACTATCTGTATGTCAGTTGGCCAGCTGGCGAATGGCTTGGCCATGGGTTCAACAGTGGATACACACATGCATGAAGTCTCAATTACAGGGGATGAATTCATTTAGCAACAGGATCCAGTAACATCAACTGAAATAAAGATAACAAAAACTGTTTTCTAGTACACAGTAAAAAAACAAACAAAATCAATAAAAAAAATAAAAAAAATAACTCTCCAACTAAATAAAACTACACATCACTCTAACAGCTAACAAACAGCATTAAAATTAAGAAAAAAAAAATTGTACATTCAAAGTGATCTATTCTTTGTTCACACACTCAAAGTTTTGTACAGGCCAAGTTAGAAATTCAGCTACCATGTATCAGTAAGTAATGAGTGACTTTCCAACTTGCTGCTCAGTATGCTGTGATGTGCATAGTAAGCGGTTTGTCTCATTAGGTGACTAGGTACTGTTGTTGTTTCTGAGTTTGAAGAGCTGCTTTGTAAATGGTCTTATTTCCCTGTATATCATAGTGTAATATGACTGACCCTTTTGCCCTGCACAGCTGATATTTGTGTTGTGCTGTCCGCTGCACCTCCTGGGGAAGCGTCATCTGTACACCTATGAACACTCCCTAACAAGATTAACTAATGTCATTGGTTCTGCTTGCACCTGCGCAGCAGTGCTTAGAAGGCCAGGATATGAATATAATCTGTATAACATGTCAATCCAGGTAGCAGACTGGAACATTTAATAAAATAAATCAAGTATGAAAGTTTTTTTCTTCTTAGCTATCTCCCAGTGTGGGAGAAAAAGGAACAAACCCAGTGCCTCCCTTTAAAATAGGTAACTAATTAGAGATTTTTCTTTTGAAATCGGAGCACATCTGTCTGAGAGGCAAGGAACCAACAGTCTGCATACAAATAAGCCAGATCCTTAAAACGGATATGTTATGCAAAATTCAAGTTCTGGAACATGACTAAGTTCCAGAAGTAGAAGAACAACCAGAACTTTCTGCCAGAGTTTACTGCTAGCGAAGAAGAAGAAGAACAACAACAACAGCTACAACAACAAGGAGGAGGAGGAAGAGGTGGAGGAGACGAAGAAGAAGAAGAAGTTACAACAACAACAACTACAACAACAACAAGGAGGAGGAGGAAGAGGAGGAGAAGAAGAAGAAGAAGAAGAAGAAGAAGTAGAAGAAAAAGAAGGAGAAAACAAAAAGAAGAAAGTTATCTAATTAAATATGAAATATCACACTTACACAACATTTATCAAATCCAGTGACAGATTTCTTACCAATGTTATAGTTATTAAATCAAGTGTAAAATTTTTTTTTAAATATTATAATTATCTTCTAAAGTCAGAGATTTCCTATGAATGTTACAGTTATTAAGTAAAGTCAGAGATTTCTTTTGAATGAATGTTATAATTTTCAAGTAAAGTCAGAGATTTCTGACTAATGCTGTAGTTATTAAGTAAAGTGAGAGACTTCTTATGAATGTTATAGTTATCAAGCCAGATATTTCTTATGAATGTTTAACTTATTGAGTAAAGCTAGAGATTTCTTATCAATGTTATAATTATCAACTAAAATCAGAGATTTCTTATTAATGTTATAATTATCAAGTAAAATCAGAGATTTCTTATTAATGTTATAATTATCTTGTAAAGTCAGAGATTTGTTTTAATCAGTGTTACAGTTACCAAGTAAAGTCAGAGATTTGTTTTAATCAGTGTTACAGTTACCAAGTAAAGTCAGAGATTTCTTATTAAAATGTTAATTGCTTGCTGAATCAACATCACAGCACTCTGGACACTCCCATAAGTGCAACCCTCACCATCTTCCGCAGCAAGCGAAGAGTTCCTATTCCAATGGTACTAGTATCTCCAGGTGGCAACGGAGATTTATTACTAATGTTATAGTTATGATGCAAAGGCACAGATTTATTACTAATGATATAGTTATAATGCAAAGGCACAGATTTATTACTAATGTTATAGTTATAATGCAAAGGCACAGATTTATTACTAATGTTGTTATCCAATCAAATAGTTTTACAATTTTTTTCAGTAATTAGGGGTTTGTGTCCAATCTTAAAAACATCCTTCTTCCATTACAAAAAATATAAGGCCCCCCCTTCAGGGTTTAGTCTGTAGCATTAACATCTCACGGATAAGAACCAGACGGGAGTAAATTCCAGCAACCCTGGTCAAATGTATCAGAGTTATACCGAGGCACTGCTGTAGTCACAAAATCACCAGTAGTCCACAGTTGTATAATGAGACTGTAAGAGCTAGGGTCCTATCTAGGAACTTCCTCCTTCCATACGACACGATGTTCAGCTGGACCATGAAATAAAACTAAGATGCAAATTTTATGCTCTAACTCTGGCATTAAACAACCCCGCCCGCCCCCCTCTTCTCCTCCCGTGCCTGTTTCCATTTACTCTCTATCTTTGCTGTAATCTCTAACTCAATGACAGATCTCTAATGTACATTGATGTATGACAAGCTGGTTGTTGTGAGGCCCCTTTGGGAGCACATAAACAGTGAGTAGGCACACACAAACCTTTAAGGTCTGAGGAAAATGGGGCTGCAAGGAGTTACCAGGGGATCTGGCCGACACTCAGGGGAAGGGCGAGATGGATATACAATCAGACATTTACTGGTACCATGGGAATTGAAATTCTTCGTTTGCTGCTAAAGATGGGGTTGGAGCACTTATGGGAGTTTCCCGAGTGCTGCGATGTCGATTCTTAATTTAACATTCAATATAATGTAAAGAAAAGCATGCACTATTTTTGTGTAATAATGAAATCACCAAAAACTATACAGTAATATAACAGAAGCATACAACAGTGATACAGACAATATTGGACATGCAATGGGCTTGGCACCATATGTCACTCATATATGTCAGTGATTTCACAGGTTATGAAAAATGAATCTTCCAAAACAGTTCTATGAACTCTACCACAGAAACATCAAACTACTTTAGTTTGGTCCCCGCCAGACAATTATCTGCATACTGCAGTAATGTCCCCAAACCCAACTAAACCACACATAACAGCACAATACCATGCCACTGTGCCAGCAATACAAACACCCAGATATCCCAGTAATGTCAAAGCCTTACAAACATCTAGATACCCCAGTAATGTCCCAGCCATACAAACATCTAGATAACCCAATAATGTCCCAGTCATACAAACATCTAGATACCCCAGTAATGTCCTAGCCAAACAAACATCTAAATACCCCAGTAATGTCCCAGCCATACAAACATCTAGATGCCCCGGTAATGTCCCAATCATACAGAAAACTAGAAACCCCAGTAATGTCCCAATCATACAGAAAACTAGATACCCCAGTAATGTCCCAATCATACAGAAAACTAGATATCCCAGTAATGTCCCAGCCATTTAGACAACTAGATAACCCAGTAATGCTCCAGCCATACAGACAACTAGATACCCCAGTAATGCTCCAGCCATACAGACAACTAGATACCCCAGTAATGCTCCAGCCAAACAGACAACTAGATATCCCAGTAATATCCCAGCCATTTAGACAACTAGATACCCCAGTAATGCTCCAGCCATACAGACAACTAGATACCCCAGTAATGCTCCAGCCATATAGACAACTAGATACCCCAGTAATGCTCCAGCCATATAGACAACTAGATACCCCAGTAATGTTCCAGCCATACAGACAACTAGATATCCCAGTAATATCCCAGCCATATAGACAACTAGATACCCCAGTAATGCTCCAGCCATACAGACAACTAGATACCCCAATAATGTCCTAGCCATATAGACAACTAATACCCCAGTAAAGTCCCAGCCATATAGACAGCCAGATAACCCAGCAATGTAGCAGCCATACAGACATCCCTTAATGTCCATATACAGAGCTCTACCATAAAGACCCACAGTGTGTGTACAGAAATGCAGAAATGACAACACTGATGTAAAAAAAAACAGTTTCACTTACAGTTCTTTGGTGAGTTCCTTCTGGTAAGCTATGGGCGACTGTAATGCTGTGCGACAACAGAAAACATATGAGACAAGTGGTATATCAATAAATATGGGGATAATAATATTTCTGACACTAATACAACAGTTAGGGGCTTTCCACGCCTGTGGACTAAAACGTCTTCATACATCTCCTCAGTATGTGGGTTCCGGAGGTCAAGTTGGGAGAAATATAAGAATAGACCACTGCCCCTTAAGCAAGCATGTCATAAAAGGTGACCAATTAGGGTTGCTTCCTTTAAGTAAGAACGCATCTGCCTGAAAGTTGAGTAACCAACAGTCTGCATACAAATTAGCCATATGTGTAAAATGCATGTGCACACAAAACTCAAGTTCTGGAACAAGACCAAAGTCAACAAGTGGACAAACACCCAGAACTTTCTGCCAGAGTTTACAGCTGGGGAACAATAAGAAGAAGAAGAGGTACAAATCTTCATGGTGGCCAGAGTTGCTGGAAAAAAAGAAGAAGAAGAAAAAAAAAAAGGTCTTCGCTGCCAGAGCGACCCTGTCTAAAAAGTATACCAGGCAAAATACTGGGAAGCAAAGGTGGCCAGCAGGATACTGACCATTTCAAACATCAAGTGTCGACTGATCTATTCAAATATACGTCAAGCACCATATGCCTCTGTCCCACAAGATGTAAAAAATGTTTTTGATTTGACCTGACCTGGGCTGTAAGAGGTGGCTTGAAACGTCCTGGAATACTGCAGTTCTGTTTGTTTGATTTCCCTCTGTGGGTTCTGAGTTTCCATTTTGTGGAAAAAAGAACAGACCTACTAGCCACTAACAAAACATGTTATAGAAGGCAATTAGTTAGGGCTCTGCTAGTGTAGTAATTTCCCTTAACACAGGAACCTGGTTGTTGTCCAGCACTCACCTAACAGACACCGTCTCTCTCAGATCCAATCTCACAGCTCTTCCACATAGCAGTCAACACGACTGATAACAGGTCAACCTTTAACAATCACTAAAACATGAGCTATAAGAGCCCATTTTGCCATCACCGTCTAACTACCAACTTCTCAATTCTATTAGTCTATAAACAATCAGCCGAGCAACAATTACTTTCTTCACGTAACCAGTATCTGCTTGTACACAGTACAATTAGCACAGCCAAATCCTCACGTCTGCTGCTTGCATGTCAACAAACATGATCACCCTTGGGAACGTATCTGCCTTGCTTTTCTCTCAACTTTCACAGAGACCCTCAGCTGTCCAACCTTCTGCTCTGGGGTCCTGTCAGAGAATGTTCTCTTTCTCTCTTTATTCCACTATCCCCTTATTTCTCTTGTGCTCCCGTAGTTCACACACACATCCAGGGTTTTTTCTCTCTCTCTCTTGCTCTCATGCTGACTTTGTGTGTCTTGTCTTGCAACCTTGCCTTAAATTCAGGCTTTTCCTAATTTCAACAACCAATCAAATCCCAACTTCAATCCTCTATTTCATGTCACTAGCTGGAACTGAATGTGTTCTACAGAAAAGAGCAGATATCACAGCCAAGCCTTTAACCACCCTTTCAGGTGAAGAAAAAGAATGACAGAATCCTAATGAGTCTTGGAAATGTGAATTTTTTAAAATGGTATCACACAAACATCATCATTCATAGGACCATCAACGTGGTAATAATTCAGTGCATTACCTGATGTTGAAGAGTCAGTCGGTCAATGTTAGTAAGTTAGTCAGTCAAACAAACAATCACTGTCAGCGTCAATAAATCATGGTCTTAAGAGTTTGTCAATTATGTCATCAGTCAGTCAATGTCAACGAGTCAGCCAAAAGGCCATCAATTTCATGTCAAAATCAGAGAATTTGTGATTTAGCCAGTCACGGTCAAAGAGTAAGTCTGTCAACATCAAAGAGTATGTCACCATCAAAGAGTCAGTCTGTCATCTTCAAAGAGTCTGTCAACATTAAAGATAAGTTTGTCATCATCAAAGAGTCAGTTTCACACCATCAAAGAGTCAGTTTCACACCATCAAGAGTCAGTTTTACATCATCAAGAGTCAGTTTTACATCATCAAGAGTCAGTCTGTCACCATCAAGAGTCAGTCTGTCACCATCAAGAGTCAGTTTTACACTATCAAGAGTCAGTCTGTCACCATCAAAGAGTTAGTCTGCCAACATCAAGAGTTTTACACCATCGAGTCAGTCTGTCACCATCAAGCGTCAGTCTGTCACCATCAAAGAGTCAGTCTGTCACCATCAAAGAGTCAGTTTGTCACCATCAAAGAGTCAGTCAGTAAGTCTCTGACAGTTATTACAGAACTGAATTCTCGTGCAAGAGACCAGGGTTTAATTCTTCAGTAATGAATGATTTTTTTCTGAAGGGGCAAAAACAGAAATCCTAACCTGCCCAGTTGGTAGTGACTGAAACCTTCCAGCTCACTAACCTCTGAAACCTTCCAGCTCACTAAAATCTGAAACCTTCCAGCTCACTAAAATCTGAAACCTCCCAGCTCACTAACCTCTGAAACCTCCCGGCTCACTAACATCTGAAACCTTCCAGCTCACTAACCTCTGAAACCTTCCAGCTCACTAACCTCTGAAACCTCCCAGCTCACTAAAATCTGAAACCTTCCAGCTCACTAAAATCTGAAACCTCCCAGCTCACTAACATCTGAAACCTCCCAGCTCACTAACCCCTGAAACCTCCCAGCTCACTAACCCCTGAAACCTCCCAGCTCACTAACCCCTGAAACCTCCCAGCTCACTAACCCCTGAAACCTCCCAGCTCACTAACATCTGAAACCTTCCAGCTCACTAAAATCTGAAACCTTCCAGCTCACTAAAATCTGAAACCTCCCAGCTCACTAACATCTGAAACCTCCCAGCTCACTAACATCTGAAACCTTCCAGCTCACTAAAATCTGAAACCTCCCAGCTCACTAACATCTGAAACCTCCCAGCTCACTAACATCTGAAACCTTCCAGCTCACTAAAATCTGAAACCTTCCAGCTCACTAACCTCTGAAACCTCCCAGCTCACTAACCCCTGAAACCTCCCAGCTCACTAACATCTGAAACCTTCCAGCTCACTAAAATCTGAAACCTCCCAGCTCACTAACCCCTGAAACCTCCCAGCTCACTAACCCCTGAAACCTCCCAGCTCACTAACCCCTGAAACCTCCCAGCTCACTAACCCCTGAAACCTCCCAGCTCACTAACCCGTGTCCTAGACTGCCCAAAATATGGTGAAATGAATGAATGAAGAAATGACATCAGTGCACTGGGAACATTCCCATATTTGCTCCTTTCTCAGTGGCCAACAAACATTTCTCATCCTGATGAATCACTGCAAGCTGATTAACAATCTGTCTGGTTGTTTTTTTTTCTGTGGGAAGACAATGGTCCACACCCTCTGCTCAACCCCAACACAATTATTCTCTCCAGATATGGATGCCCTGCATGTTCTGTTTCACTGTTTATCTGATCACAGACAGCCTTCCCTATATCATAAAACAGTTCACCGCCCAAAGGAGCAGCAGCAGCTTATTTATCAGCCTCCTCATTACCACACACATCCAAATGTCCTGGGCACCCAAAAAAATCCATAATACGCTTCTGATCAGTCTTATCAAGTGATGCAGGCCATCCTGAGCAAACTACACCAGTTTATATTAAAGTGATACAATACAAGCAGTAAAGAGAACGAGGCAGTGACTGTCAGAGAGTCAACTAGTTCCTCCCAGAATCACATGTCACTGTCGGAGTCAGACAGTCGTTGTTAAGGAGTTGTGTTAATGCCTAAAAGTAAAGTTAACATTTATCAGTCACTTAGCCACTGTCAAAGAGTCACTCCAACCAGAGAGTCACTCCAACCAGTCATTTATAGTCAGACAGTCAGTTACTAATTGTTGACTGTCATTCAGTCAAGTAAGAGAGTCAGTTCAAGTCAGTCATTCAGGCACTGTCACAAAGTCAGCACACTATTGCTACCAGTCAACCCCCATGAAGTGATGACAAACATACCTCTTAAAAAATCCCCTTGCATATCCAAAATAGAGCGGATCTGTTTGACCCATGTTTCCTTATTCTCCTCAGAGTTTGCCTGAATAATCATGCGCACATCCGAGCCTGGCGTCCTATCTGTCAGCTGAAATCGGAGTGGCTCTCCCTCAACTGTGTCACACAATGACATTTTGTTCACCTGTATAGAAACAGCAACTTGTAAATTTTTTTTTTTTACAATATTGTAATATCATACTCCCAGGTTGACCCAGCCTTCAGTGGGTAGGAGGTGCAGTCCTGAGAAGTAAAGGCGGCCTGCATGATGCTGACATCACCCTATATCATCATCATCATCAGGTGCCTTGCTTACTGGCGTGGGCGATCATGCCTCTCTATAATCTATGATCTCCTGCAGCATGTATCAGTTCGAGTGCCGACACACCCACCCTCTACAGTTGATGAATCAATGAAACTTCCTCAGACATAGTTTTGGTTACTAACACAAAGGATGAGAATACCTGGGAAACAACTAGGTGACATTTGACATTTGGATACAGGTTGAGCCCTATTCAGAACCAAAACATGATCATGGGAAGACTTGAAACAGAAACTGTAGATCTAGAACTTTTGTGGAATCAGAAGATCCACCTCCAATCATTAATCTCTACTGGTAACGATGAAAGCTGCTGTGGTGTAGTGGCCAGACTCTTGCCTGCAGATCTAAAGGTCATGGGTTCACGTTCTGATGGAGCCGGACATTTTTTCCTATCAAAATTGACCTTGGCTCCAAGGTCCACTCACCCATAAATGGGTACTAGGCAAAGTTCTGGGAAGTAAAGGTGGCCGGATTAATGTTGACCACATCACCCACAAAGTGCCGACTGGTTTAAAAACAGAGGTCTAGCTCTTAAGTCCAGTATACCCAAAAGTGTGGGAAAAGATCCTTTATTTTACTTGCTGGTAATGGTGACAAAGATGGACGTCAGCATAAGAATACATGCTGATTATAGAAAACTAGATGCTGTCACGTCAGCTGATGTGGAACCCATACCAAGCTGTGAGGACAACATTGCTAAACTGCCGTGTGCTAGACTGTTTACAAAATTTAATTTGACAAAAGGGTATTGGCAAATATCTATGGCTGAAAATTCAACACACCTCACAGCTTTCTCCACACCCTCTGCACTACATGAGTGGGTATATATGCCAAGTGGATTATTCAATGCTCCTGCTGCATTTGTTAGGACATCACTGCAAAGAGTGCGAGAACTGGGAGTCAGTATTAGCACAGCCAGGCATAGGAGGCACAGACCATATGCAAGAAGTCTTGTTGACCAGGAAAGGACTGGCACTATTAACTGTGGGACACTGATGTACACATTGAAGGGGGAATCTGAGCACATATGGACATGTACAAAGTGCAATGAAGACAATCCAGCTCATAACTCAAGTCAGGAAAAACACATCTAGATACAACACCACAACCTGATACAACATAACATGCACATCAGCACAGCTTGCAACAAAATAACATGCTACAACTCACTATAACAGCAGCACCAAAAACTGTAAACATGCTTCAATAGCACAACTTGCAGCAACATCTCATGTTACAACTTGCTACAGCACACAACATCACAGCATACTAAAACACAAGAATTTGCTACACAAGACTATGATACTATAACATCACCACCTGTAACAGACAACAATGTTATAATTTGCAACAACAGTTACACAACTCATTAAACATGTGCAACTTGAGAAAACAACAATTTGTTTTCATTAAGTGAATCCCAAGCAAAAGAAAAAGAAACCCAAAAAACTATAAACTAATAATTGTAGTTAAAAACTTACTACAGCAGCACGCACCAGGCATTCACACAAACACACACAAATTAACCAAACAAGACCAACAGAAAAATAAACTTAACCAAACACAAACAACAAACTTTACTAAAAACAAGCAACAAACTAACAATTTTCAATCTAACACAAGCAACAGACAAACAAACTCAGCCAAACAGAATCAAGAGAGAGAAACTTAGCCAAACACAAGCAACAACAAACTTCGCCAAACAAAAGCAACAGACAAACAAAATTGGCCAAACACAAGCAACAGACAAATAAACAGCCAAACACAAGCAACAGACAAAAAAAACTTAGCCAAACACAAGCAACAGACAAACAAACTTGGCCAAACACAAGCAACTGACACACAAACTTAGACAAACACACCAACAAACAAACAAACTCAGCCAAACACAAGCAACAGACAAAAAAACCTAGCCAAACACACCAACAAACTTAGCCAAACACAACCAACAAACAAATAAACTCAACCAAACACAAGCAACTGACACACAAACTTAGTCAAACACAAGCAACAGACAAACAAACAACCAAACACAACAAACAAACAAACTTAGCCAAACACAAGCAACAGACAAACAAACTCAGCCAAACACAAGCAACAAACAACAAACTACATGCAATAGTAAGAAAATCTGCTCTGTTAAGCTCTTTTTTTTTTCTAGAATGAGACAACAAACTGGTCTCTCAGATAAAAATTAGCATCATATACCTGATACACCAGTGAAGTAAAAGATTCCTACAGATGAGACAATGGAGCTCCAGTGCTCAACAAGTGACTTCTCACCTTAAGGCTATTTTTGTAGATGTATGTCGGGTTGGAGAAGTTGTCCTTCTTGCTCTCGATCATCTCACTGAAGATAATGATTTGTTCAAACAGAAACACACGCCTCTCCTTAAACTTCTGCTGTCCACCGGATGAGACCTCGGACACCAGGAGTGTATCCTGGGGGAACAAACATCACAGATGTGATCATGTCATAAAGTGATATGGAAACATCACACATGTTATCATGTCAATTTGTAATATAGAAACATCATATATGTGATAATGTCAATATGTGAAATGGAAACATCACATATGTGATAATCATTATTCAATTGGTGAGATTATTGTAATATATGTAGCATATATTTTTAGAGCATGAATCTTCTCTCTTTAGCAACTGATGTGAGCCATGGACTATCTTGCAGTCAATACGGGAGAAAATAGGGGCTTCTGAGTTGAAATGCTATAGAAAGATTCTCAGAATACCAAGGACAAAGAAGAAAAGAAATACTGACATTTTAAAAGATCTGAACATGAAGGAAGATTGGCTTAAACACAGCATCTTGTCTCGGAAGCTAAAAGATTTTGGCCATATCAAGCGCCATAGCGGACTGGAAAAAACAATAACATTAGAATGCAGGGTGCAAGTAAGGAGGACAGGGACCAGTCAACACAAAGATGGGCAAAGGATATGTCATGTGATTCCTTGAATATGAAGGTGCACGAAGTGAGAGGGCTGGCGAGAGACCGAGTTTTCTTTCTGACAGACTGCGACGACAGCTTCGTTCTGCAAAGGAACGGCTATATGGTCTAGAGAATCTGTCAATGACTGTCATCAAAGAGACGGTCAGTCAATGTCAGTAAGTCAGCCAAAGAGCTATCACTGTCACGCCAGAATAAGAGATTTGTTAGTAAGTCAGTCACGGTCAAAAAGTCAAGTGTGTCACCATCAAAGAGTCAGTCTGTCACCACCATCAAAGAGTCAGTGTCTCACATGTCGGCACTTGTGCCCTCCCCCATTCTTGCATCTTTGACCTTAAGTGGCAAGACAAGATCACAAAAGCTGAGATACTGGAAGCACCACAACAGTTTTCTCATGCTTAGATCGCTAGGAACACACCTGGAGTTTGGAGGGTGGTACAATCGCTTAGAATATCTTATATGGTAAATTACAGATGTGTAGAAGATCAGCCTCTGCTACAATATACAAATGTGTGCAACTGGGACCAGACCACGCTGCATGGAGGAGGAGAATCAGAAGGAGAAAATGAGTGCAGAAATAAATGAAAATCAAATCAAATAACACATCAGAAAGAGCGAACATAATTATTTACCCCCCCCCCCCCCCCCCCCCCCCCCCCCCCCCCCCCACCATTAATATGGTAACTGGAGGAAGAGAAGAAGAAGCAGAAGAACCCAAAAAGTTAACAAGAACAATAACTCTGTTTACGTGTCAACTTACTTGCAGCAATAACTTCCCTTGAGCAGTAATTTTTCCCTGTGGAAAGCAGAGGAAAAACCATCTTTAGTAACATCAAGACAGGGTTTAAAAAAAAAAAAAAAGGGGGAGATATCTTCTGATATAACCCCATTATAACCAAGAGGGTTGACAAAAATTAAGTAAAATGTAAAATTATTTTGGTACACATCTTAGACAGAGAAAAGTATGCCCATGTTCCACAAGTCTTCCATGTTCAGTCGTTTCACATAGAGTTATCATGTTCTATCTTACACAAACACTGAATTCATCTACAAAATCGAATCCTAGCCAGCTGACACTTGGCTGGTATTCCCAAGTTGGGTGCTCCAGTTATAAATGTTTCGGAAGTGCTCCACTTATAACTTCTTAAGTTCTTCAGTTATAACTTCTTCGGAAGTGTTCCAGTTTTAACTTCTTCTGAAGTGTTCCAGTTATAACTTCTTCGGAAGTGTTCCAGTTATAACTGTTTCATAAGTGCTCCAGTTATAACTTCTTCAGAGGGGCTCCAGTTATAACATCCTAAGTTCTTCAGTTATAACTTCTTCGGAAGTGTTCCAGTTATAACTGTTTCGGTAGTGCTCGAGTTATAACTTCTCCTGAAGTGCTCCAGTTATAACTGTTTCGGAAGGGCCCCAGTTATAACTTCTTCGGAAGTGCTCCAGTTATAACTGTTTTGGAAGTGCTCCAGTTAAAACTTCTTGTTAGAAGCCAGTTCGGCTATGGGACGGACAAAGCTGATGATAGTGAATCATCACGTATGAACGAGTTGACCTTCAGTAAAACTCAGCATGAGAGCGGGCAGCTTGACCACGGAATAAACTGGGTCCAGTTAACGGGCCAAGCCCAGTTCACACAGGTGACACAGATTACTGCGTGTTGAGCCTAAACTCAGGCCCCGGAACAAAAAGCTATGTCCGAGCTGGTTGAAGGTGAGTTGTGTACTGGGACTGGATAAGACAAGATGTAGTGCTCGACTAGGTAAAAATACATTAGGTTAGTGACGGTTAGTTGAATATAGGATCTTTGTGTTTAGTATCTTTGTTAGGCTGTGTTTCCATTTAATGTTTTGATTAGATAGTGTGTAGAGTTAATGTTCCTTGTATAGTAGACATTCCATGCAGTATTTGTTTGAGCAGTTAGTAAAGGTGTGACGTGCATTGTAATGGCGGTAACACTGCCCAGTCACGCTTAGGCCTTACACCTTACGTGTGTCACTGAGTCCCGTGTGGCAATAGACGGCGGCTTAGTTAGCACTGATAAATTGTCAGCTAGGAGTCGTGTTCCTTGTAGATCCATGGGGACCGGCTTGGGTTGACCAGTGATTGTAAAGCTGCTTATCGCCAGGGGTTTCGGAAAGGAACTGCCTACTCAGTTGAGGTGTCTACAGTCTTTTGTTCATTGTACATTAAAGATTATGTTTGTACTCAGCGGGAGTGTGTCTTAAGTGTGTCTAGGCTAGTGAAGTCTGTTAGCTGGCCTACTTAGCGAGCCATATAAAATGAATAGAGTAAAGTAGGTTCCTGACATGCTCCAGTTATAACTTCTTCGGAAGTGCTCCTCTCCCATGAGCGCTTTATTCCCCTCTACAGCAGCAAGTGAAGAGTTCCAATTCCGATGGTACCAGTACCTGTCTGATTAATTTACTGGTGAAAAACATATTCTCTATAGAGTTTGTACTTAATTTACTAGTGAAAACATGAATGGTAAAACATAAGACATCTCAACTCACATCAAATCCCTGAAGTCGACCTACTTGCATCATATCATTGGCAGCTTTGGGAACTACACACATGACCCGTAATGCTTTCTTCAGCTCTGTTGTGTCTTCTTCTGCCTTTTCTGTATATTTGAGAATGTCCTGAAAGGATACAGTATGTATGGTCAGTAGCACCATAATCAGGTTCATCCCTATACATCCATGGAATGTACAGCAATCACAGATCATGACAAACTACATACACAGAACTGTCTTCTTCTTTCATATAAATTCCATTCTAGGTTCCCTGCTACAGTGAACCAATTCTAGGCTCTCTGCTACAGTGAACCAATTCTAGGCTACCTACTACAGTGAACCAATTCTAGGCTCCATGCTACAGTGAACCAATTCTAGGCTCCCTGCTACAGTGAACCAATTCTAGGCTCCCTGCTACAGTGAACCAATTCTAGGCTCCCTGCTACAGTGAACCAATTCTAGCTTCCCTGCTACAGTGAACCAATTCTAGGCTCCATGCTACAGTGAATGAAAATATAGGGGTGACTGCAGTCAAGCTAATATCAAGGAATTCAAGGGAAATGTGACTAAAAAGCTTAACAAAACTGGGAAGCAGAAAAACGTGCACAAAAAAACATTTTGGCCATCTTCTCTAGGCATCTGAATACCTTTTTCCCATTTTTGGGCATATTCAGTCAGCTCACTTTCTTTCATGAGCCAATTCGAGTCTCTATGATATCAAGGGACACTGTGTGCTCTTTGCATCAAAAGACAGCCGTCATCAGAAGAGAGGATTTAAACTCACACCCCCCCCCCCCCCAACATAATGAGTAAAAGAGAAACCTGTTCCACCACAGGCTGCCAGCTACATCAAATCAATTACAGATTTCTTGCTACAGTGAATAAATCAATTGATATTAAACTATCTGTTACATCAAACCAATTCTATACTACATAGAGACACTGCCCATATTATATTGTTCACACGCCAGCCTAGCCCACACCAAATGTGCGGTGACAGACAGACTTACATTAATCAAGAGACTTACTTTTCAGCAACAGATTTACTTTTCAGCAACAGACTTTCCCTCGAAGTCGGAGTACATCTGCCCGTGAGGCAGGGAACAGCGAAAGCCAGTAAAACGGTTGTACACACAAAACTCAGGTCCAGGTAAAAGCCAAAAGTTCAAGCGGACGATTAACCGGGACCTTCCGCCGGAATTCACGGCCGGTGAACGAAGAAGAAGAAGAATCAACAGACTTACTCCGGCTGCATTAGCGCAGTCGATAGAAGAATCACTTTCAAATCCAGCTGTGACTAGCTGCAGCCCACGACCGATGTTTGAAACCGGGTGGTTTCTGGGGTTCCCCCAGCTTCTATAAAACGGGTATCAGAGGTGACACTCTGGGGTAAATGGAGGAACGTCGCTGTAGCTACGGAGTTACGTGTAGACGGCGACACGGGCGGACAGTTTCTTATCAGCTGTCCGCACTGGTGGCAGAGCACTTATTGTTTATTACTGTGTGCAGTGACGCTGGTTCACATGTTCCAACTTTTTAGCAACAGACTTACTTTTCAGCAACAGACTTGCTCCAGCAATATATTTACTTTCAGCAACAGACTTACTCTACTCTAGCAAAATATTTACTTTCAGCAACAAACTTACTTTCAGCAACAGCTGGTATCGCATGATCCTTTGAACTGGTTTGATCAGCAGGTCTGGCAGCATCAGTCGGTGACCCAGTTTTTGTCTCACTTCCTGCAGACAATGGTTTCAGAATTTACAAGATGATTTCTAATCATAGCATTTCACAAGTGAAAACATGTCACTAGTGGAGACATACCACTACTGGAGACATTATCACACGTGGAAACATACCTCTAGTATAGAAACATACCATCAGTAGAGACATATCACCAGTAGAAACATACCATCAGCTGAAACACACCGCCAGTGGAGACACATCACCAGTGGAGACATTAACACCAGTGGAGACATTAACACCATAACACCAGTGGAGATATTAACACCATAACATCAGTGGAGACATTAACATCAGCTGAGACATTAACACCAGTGATGACAAACGTGTACAAACCTCAAAATATGTGTCCAAGTACTCGGAGACGATAAATTCTGACTTGGGCTTGTTCTCACAGTACTTAACGTACATGTACAGTCGTCTCTCCTGGGGACACATGTCAAACACAGTTATTGCACTGACAATGGTCATAACTACTACAAACTACTATGATCACACAATACACATACTGGTATTCTCGTCCCCAGACAAATGCTGTCAGCAACTTTACAGACGACAGTGTTTTACTGTGCTATAGTTTAGACACGGGAGACACAGCCCATGGTGATACCAAATACAGCCAGGAATGAAGTGCTCCCTCTCCATAGCAACAAACCCTGAGCAGTATTGTCGAGATCATGTGAGTGCCGATGCAGCATGATCCCTTCGCTTGGTCTGCTTTACTAACTCCAAGGGAAGGGTAACACCAATATATTTGGAATAAATGACACATACAAGACGTACAGCCATTGTATTCACAAGTCAAGTAAAGGCCCCTTCTCCTGCCTTCAGGTGTACTGGGCATACAGGGCAGGACCTATGTTTCATAGACCAATAGGCACCCGGTGGATGATGTGGTCAACATCACACCAGCAGCTTTTACTTCCCAGATTTAGTAGTCACTTACTGGATACACAACTTAATGAACACTTCACAAATCAGATAAATGTAGAATTGAAGAACACCTCAAATCCACATACTGGATAGATAAAGGATTTAACAAACACCTCACATCCAGTACTCACATATCGGACAAATATAGAACCTAAAGAACACCTTACATTTAGTACTCACATATCGGACAAATATAGAACCAACTCTATTAGGATTAGTGAGGCACTTCTCCAGCTCAGCCAGCATGGTTCTGTGGGAAACAAGCATCATATGTCTACTGAAGGCATCTTCATGCTCCATCAATCCACTCATACAAGTACAGACTTATTATATCAGTCACAGATGTCACTATTATTTTTTCCTCCTCTGAGCATAGGATCTCAACCAATTCACAGCAAGTTGTCCTATTCTTTGCTATCACATGCAGCCAATTCCACATCCTCCCAACCTTTTTAACTTCATCTTCTAGCTCCCTTATCCATGTGTTTTTTGTAATCTGCCTTTATGCATATGTCCCTGTGGGTTCTGATGTAAAGACATTCTAGTTGTTTTGATATCATGTTTTCTTAACATGTGTCCTGTGCGAAGCATTTAAAAAAAAAATTACTTATTAACAAAACTATGGTAGTCACAAATGTGGCAAATATTGTCACTCATTACATCTGTCATGAATGCGATTAATTTTGCCACAGATGTGGCAAATGTTGGCACTTATTATATCAACCAGTCACAGATGAGATTAATGTTGCCACTTACTCATTATGCCAGTAAAAGATGAGATGAATGTTGCCATTTACTCATTATGCCAGTGAAAGATGAGATGAATGTTGCCACTTACTCATTATGCCAGTGAAAGATGAGATGCAAATAGCCACTTACTCATTATGCCAGTGAAAGATGAGATGAAAATAGCCACTTACTCATTATGCCAGTGAAAGATGAAATTAATGTTGCCACTTACTCATTATGCCAGTTAAAGATGAGATGAAAATAGCCACTTATTATGCCAGTGAAAGATGAAATTAATGTTGCCACTTACTCATTATGCCAGTGAAAGATGAGATTAAGCTTGCCACTTACTCATTATGCCAGTGAAAGATGAGATGAATGTTGCCACTTACTCATTATGCCAGTGAAAGATGAGATTAAGCTTGCCACTTACTCATTATGCCAGTGAAAGATGAGATGAATGTTGCCACTTACTCATTATGCCAGTTAAAGATGAGATGAAAATAGCCACTTACTCATTATGCCAGTGAAAGATGAAATTAATGTTGCCACTTACTCATTATGCCAGTGAAAGATGAAATTAATGTTGCCACTTACTCATTATGCCAGTGAAAGATGAGATTAAGCTTGCCACTTACTCATTATGCCAGTGAAAGATGAGATTAATGTTGATACTTACTCATTATGCCAGTCATAGATCTGGTGGATGTTGCCAAACACAATTTTATCCTTGCCTTCCATCTCATCCGGCAGGGGGTTGTCCCTCATGTAGGCCATGTACCCCTGGGGACAACAAGGGTCACATTCATCAACATCTGACAGAACACTGTTCAGGACCATATGATACTGAAATTACTAAGAAAGTACATAATGTGATACTGAAATGTGAATACAGATGGAGAATGTGATAGTGAAATGTGAAAACACATAGTAGTGTGTGATGTGAATACAGGTAAGAGATGTGATTGTGCGATTTGAATACAGATAAGAGTATGTGATAATGTGATCTGAGCAGAGTACAGATAAGAGTATTTAAAGTGTTTTGTGAATACAGATAAGAGTATGTGATAGTTTTTTGTGAATACAGATAAGAGTATGTGACAATTTGATGTGAATCCAGATAAGAGTATGTGATGTGTTGTGACTAAGGATAAGAGTATATGTGATAGTGTGCTGTGAATACAGATAAGAGTATGCGATAATGTGTTGAGAATACAGACAAGAGTATGTGATAATGTGATGTGAATACAGATACAAGTAGGCTACATGAATATAGATAACAGTATGTGATAATGTGATGTGAATACAGATACAAGTAGGATACATGAATATAGATAACAGTATGTGATAATGTGTTGTGAATGCAGATAACAGTGAATGATACTGAGATGTGAATATAGATAGAAGGGAAATGTCACCAATATTACAGAACAAACATGTAGCAACTGACACCAAAAGAGCACGCACTATTCAATACAATATTTGGTACCATCATTGTGTTATCAGTGCCAGACGTGTACATTTACAATAAAGGAGCCACACACAAAAAATGTGAAACAACAGAAATGACATCTCTATGGTGAATCCTAACTGTAACTACAACAATACCAAGAAAGAAGTTGGCACAGAACCAGTATTGAACTTCATCAAGAGACAACAGATCAAATGGTTTGGACATGTGTCGAGACTACCCCCTAAATAGTGAACCACAGAGATTCCTGTCATCATCATCATCAATTTCCACTTCTGCCAGTAACCACTGTGGGGAGGAACAGTTTGCGAATCACAGCTTGATGGGCAACAATGGTTACTGTTATTATGTGACGATGCAGAAGCTCTTTAATGTCATCAATCCATATGCTAATAGGCTGGCCTCTTGATTTCGCTTCAGATCTTTTCATGTGTGTTGGCGTTCTTACTAAATGATCAAACTATTTCATTTGCTGTTTTTCAGTGTCTTTGCTGCAGGGCGCTGTTCCTACAGTCTGTCTGACAATATCGTGTCTAACTTTGTCTCAGATGGTTAAGCTGGCAGCTTTTCTCAGGCATCTCATTTCACAGGTTTTAATTTTGTGTATTTAGCCTTCAATAATGTCTAAGTCTAGCACTGGTAGCACAGTGTTGGTATAAATATGCTGTTATAATTTGTTTCTTGGCACCTGTACTTAGGTTTGGATGTCTTAATTACAGTCTCAGTTGGTACATAAATACACAGGCATGTTGGCATCTTGTTTCTACTTCAAAATCCATTCTCCCATCCTCTGATAGTATACTTCCTAGATATTTAAATTCTTTAACTTGCTTCAGACAAGTATCATTCAACCCGAACTGTAGTGGAATCAGAATTCTACTGAGTCTGCTACAATTACAACACATCAAACTGCCACCAGAAATCTGCCGTTACTGCCTCCACCTCTATTTTCATACTGGATGTAATGACTTTGTATGCGAGGCTTTCTGTATTCAAACGGTGGGAAATATGTTAACATCCTGAACAGTATCACAAAATAAAGTTTGCAACAACATACGTCTACAATGCTGGCCAAGTCCTTGACATAATCCTTCTCTGTGTCATAAAGCTCTTGTATAACAAACCTGATGTCATGAAAGGAAACAAAATACAATCTGTTAGATGGAGAGGTAACAAGAAACAGACTTTCAGAAAGAGACAGAGAAGACACAATCTGTCAGACGGAGAGAGATGAGACACAACCTGTTAGATGGAGATAGACAAGACACAACCTGTTAGATGGAGATAGACAAGACACAATCTGTTAGATGGAGAGAGATGAGACACAATTTGTTAGATGGAGAGAGATGGGACACAATTTGTTAGATGGAGAGGTAACAAGAAACAGTCTTTCAGAAAGAGACAGAGAAGACACAATCTGTCAGACGGAGAGAGATGAGACACAACCTGTTAGATGGAGATAGACAAGACACAACCTGTTAGATGGAGATAGACAAGACACAATCTGTTAGATGGAGAGAGATGAGACACAATTTGTTAGATGGAGAGAGATGGGACACAATTTGTTAGATGGAGAGGTAACAAGAAACAGTCTTTCAGAAAGAGACAGAGAAGACACAATCTGTCAGACGGAGAGAGATAAGACACAACATGTTAGATGGAGAGAGATGGGACACAATCTGTTAGATGGAGAGAGATGAGACACAATCTGTTAGATGGAGAGAGATGGGACACAATCTGTTAGATGGAGAGAGTTGGGACACAATCTGTTAGATGGAGAGAGATGAGACACAATCTGTTAGATGGAGAGAGATGGGACACAATCTGTTAGATGGAGAGAGATGAGACACAATTTGTTAGATGGAGAGAGATGAGACACAACCTGTTAGATAGAGATAGACAAGACACAATCTGTTAGTACAAGGTGAAAGGGTTAAAAGATAATAACAATCATCATCATGTAGCAGGTCTTTTGCAGAACGCTGCTCTCAACACGGTCTGCCTGAAAGAAACACAGACTCTCGCCAGCTCTTCCACCGCATACACTTTCATATTCAAGGAGTCACTTATATCCTGTGCCCATCTTTTTGCAATTCGGCCCCTGACTCTCCTTGCTGGTACCATGCCTTCTGCTACTGATAATTAAGGCATTAAAAAGCATATATAATGCATACCTGGCATTGAGAAGTTGACTATTTGGTCATTATCTTTCCAGTTCTCCACATAAGTTGTGAGGAAAACAAGAACAGACCCAATACCTCCCCAAAAGAATGTCGCTAACAGCTGACTAATTAAGGCTTTCTTTAAAGTCGGAGTGCATCTGCCTGGCAAGCAACCAACAGTCTGCATACAGATAAGTCAGATCTGTACATTGTATGTGCCAGAACCAGAACTTTTCCCTGGAATTTACTGCCGGTGAATGCAAAGAAGATCTGTCTGGTAAACTATGTACAGGGTTTTGAGTAGCTGACTATTTCCTCATTATCTGTCTAGTAACCTTGTACTGAATACGTACTGAGCATCTGATCATATCTTCATTTTTTTGCCCTGGATACCTGAGTCATTACATATCTTTCATTATTAGTCTAGTAACCTCTATATTAATTGGATACCTGTATAGTTAACTATCTCTCATTATTAGTCCAGTAACCTCTATATTAATTGGATACCTGTGTAGTTGACTATCTCTCATTATTAGTCCAGTAACCTCTATATTAATTGGATACCTGTGTAGTTGACTATCTCTCATTATTAGTCCAGTAACCTCTATATTAATTGGATACCTGTGTAGTTGACTATCTCTCATTATTAGTCCAGTAACCTCTATATTAATTGGATACCTGTGTAGTTGACTATCTCTCATTATTAGTCCAGTAACCTCTACATTAATTGGATACCTGTGTAGTTGACTATCTCTCATTATTAGTCCAGTAACCTCTATATTAATTGGATACCTGTGTAGTTGACTATCTCTCATTATTAGTCCAGTAACCTCTATATTAATTGGATACCTGAGTAGTTAACTATCTCTCATTATTAGTCCAGTAACCTAATTGGATACCTGCGTTGTTAACTATCCCTATTTATTTGCCCAATAATCTGGCATTGGACTGTGCGGACATCTCTTCATTATATGTCTAGTAACGTCTATTATTAATTGGATACCTGAGTAGTTAACCATCCATTATCTGCCCAAAAACCTTGCGCCGGAGTGTGCGGACATCTCTTCATTATCTGTCTAGTAAAGTTTATAATTAATTGGATACCTGAGTAGTAAACTATCCCTCATTATTTGCCCAATAACCTGGCGTTGGACTAAGCGGCCATCTCTTCATTATCTGTCTAGTAACGTCTATAATTAATTGGATACCTGAGTAGATAACAATCCATTTTTTGCCCAATAACCTGGCATTGGACTGTGCGGACATCTCTTCATTATCTGTCTAGGAAAGTCTATAATAATTGGATGCTTTTTAGTTAACCATCCATTATTTGCGCAATAACCTGGCATTGGACTGTGCGGACATCTCTTCATTATCTGCACACTGCTGCTGACACAGATACCTTCAGCTGCAGCCACAAACCACTTATTTTACAACAAAAAATCTTCTCTCAGTTTCCTACTGGCTACTCCACTTACTGTCTCTTCTTGAGGTATTTTGCCTTCTCTGCCTCAATATCTTTCTCCTCACTGTCAGCCTTGTCATCTTCCTCCTCCTCCTCCTCTTTGGTGTTGTGTTCATTCGTCTGGTTGAATTCTTGGTCAGCAGTTGTGGCTACCTGATTGTCAGTCAAGTCCTGTGAAGGATCATGGGAAGTATCCTGTGAGGGATCCTGGCAAGGCTCCTGCAAATATAACAAATGTGTCAATGAATATTCATGAGGACAGTCAACTGCTTGTTTGTTGGTCTCAAGCTTTTCCTTGTTGGTCTCAAGCTTTGTCTGTCTTGTTGGTCTCAAGCTTTGTCTTGTTGGTCTCAAGCTTTGTCTTGTTGGTCTCAAGCTTTGTCTTGTTGGTCTCAAGCTTTGTCTTGTTGGTCTCAAGCTTGTCTTGTTGGTCTCAAGCTTTGTCTTGTTGGTCTCAAGCTTTGTCTTGTTGGTCTCAAGCTTTGTCTTGTTGGTCTCAAGCTTTGTCTTGTTGGTCTCAAGCTTTGTCTTGTTGGTCTCAAGCTTTGTCTGTCTTGTTGGTCTCAAGCTTTGTCTTGTTGGTCTCAAGCTTTATCTGTCTTGTTGGTCTCAAGCTTTGTCTGTCTTGTTGGTCTCAAGCTTTGTCTTGTTGGTCTCAAGCTTTGTCTTGTTGGTCTCAAGCTTTGTCTTGTTGGTCTCAAGCTTTGTCTTGTTGGTCTCAAGCTTTGTCTTGTTGGTCTCAAGCTGTGTCTTGTTGGTCTCAAGCTTTGTATTGTTGCGGTCTCAAGCTTTGTCTTGTTGGTCTTAAGCTTGTCTTGTTGGTCTCAATCTCTGTCTAGTTGGTCTCAAGCTTTGTCTTGTTGGTCTCAAGCTTTATCTGTCTCGTTGGTCTCAAGCTTTGTCTGTCTTGTTGGTCTCAAGCTTTGTCTTGTTGGTCTCAAGCTTTGTCTTGTTGGTCTCAAGCTTTGTCTTGTTGGTCTCAAGCTTTGTCTTGTTGGTCTCAAGCTTTGTCTTGTTGGTCTCAAGCTTTGTATTGTTGCGGTCTCAAGCTTTGTCTAGTTGGTCTCAAGCTTTCTCTGTCTTGTTGGTCTCAAGCTTTGTCTGTCTTGTTGGTCTCAAGCTTGTCTTGTTGGTCTCAAGCTTTGTCTTGTTGATCTCAAGCTTTGCCTTGTTGGTCTCTAGCTTTGTCTTGTTGGTTTCAAGCTTTGTCTTGTTGGTCTCAAGCTTGTCTTGTTGGTCTCAAGCTTTGTCTTGTTGGTCTCAAGCTTTGTCTTGTTGGTCTCAAGCTTTGACTTGTTGGTCTCAAGCTTTGACTTGTTGGTCTCAAGCTTTGTCTTGTTGGTCTCAAGCTTTGTCTTGTTGGTCTCAAGCTTTGTCTTGTTGGTCTCAAGCTTTGTCTTGTTGGTCTCAAGCTTTGTCTTGTTGGTCTCAAGCTTTGTCTTGTTGGTCTCAAGCTTTGTCTTGTTGGTCTCAAGCTTTGTCTTGTTGGTCTCAAGCTTTGTCTTGTTGGTCTCAAGCTTTGTCTTGTTGGTCTCAAGCTTTGTCTTGTTGGTCTCAAGCTTTGTCTTGTTGGTCTCAAGCTTTGTCTTGTTGGTCTCAAGCTTTGTCTTGTTGGTTTCAAGCTTTGTCTTGTTGGTCCCAAGCTTTGTCTGTCTTGTTGGTCTCAAGCTTTGTCTTGTTGGTCTCAAGCTTTGACTTGTTGGTCTCAAGCTTTGTCTTGTTGGTCTCAAGCTTTGTCTTGTTGGTCTCAAGCTTTGTCTGTCTTGTTGGTCTCAAGCTTTGTCTTGTTGGTCTCAAGCTTTGTCTGTTTTGTTGGTCTCAAGCTTGTCTTGTTGGACTCAAGCTTTGTCTGTCTTGTTGGTCTCAAGCTTTGTCTTGTTGGTCTCAAGCTTTGTCTTGTTGGTCTCAAGCTTTGTCTTGTTGGTCTCAAGCTTTGTCTTGTTGGTCCCAAGCTTTGACTTGTTGGTCTCAAGCTTTGTCTTGTTGGTCTCAAGCTTTGTCTTGTTGGTCCCAAGCTTTGACTTGTTGGTCTCAAGCTTTGTCTTGTTGGTCTCAAGCTTTGTCTTGTTGGTCTCAAGCTTTATCTGTCTTGTTGGTCTCAAGCTTTGTCTGTCTTGTTGGTCTCAAGCTTTGTCTTGTTGGTCTCAAGCTTTGTCTTGTTGGTCTCAAGCTTTGTCTTGTTGGTCTCAAGCTTTGTCTTGTTGGTCTCAAGCTTTGTCTGTCTTGTTGGTCTCAAGTTTTATCATGTATCTTAATTAACACATATATTTAAGCTAGTTTTTTTCCCTTTTATCTGTAGGTTTGTGTGTCCTGATTATTGCAGCTTTTTACCAGAATTTTGCTTTAATGTGTAGAATTAACATAACATGAAGTTATAACATGAGGAATTAACATAAACATAAATACATAATGTGTAGAAGTGAAATACAATTGAAGATTTAACATGTAGAATTTATAAAAGATGTAAATTTAACATGCAGAATTAACATAAAATGAGGATTTAACTAATGCGGTTAGACTAGATGATACTGGAACACCTGACTACTGACCCGGATGAGGAGACATCACAACAGGTGATTACTGGCACAGCTAGACTAGGAAATATCACAAAAGGTGATTACTGGCACAGTTGGACAGAGATATCACAACAGGTGATTACTGGCACAGTTGGACAGAGATTTCACAACAGGTGATTACTGGCACAATTGGACAGAGATATCACAACAGGTGATTACTGGCACAGTTGGACAGAGATATCACAACAGGTGATTACTGGCACAATTGGACAGAGATATCACAACAGGTGATTACCGGCACAGTTGGGCAGAGACATCTCAACCAGTGATTATTGGCACAGCTAGACTAGGAGATATCACAACCAGTGATTATTGGCACAGCTAGACTAGGAGATTTCACAACCAGTGATTATTGGCTCAGCTAGACTAGGAGATATCACAACCAGTGATTATTGGCACAGCTAGACTAGGAGATATCACAACCAGTGATTACTGGACAGTTATTGAGATATCACACCAGTGATTATTGGCACAGTAGACTAGGAGATATCACAACCAGTGATTATTGGCACAGTTAGACTAGGAGATATCACAACCAGTGATTACTGGCACAGTTAGACAGTGATTATTGGCACATATCACAACCAGTGATTATTGGCACAGTTAGACTAGAGAGATTATCACTAGGAGATATCACAACCAGTGATTATTGGCACAGTTAAACTAGGAGATTTCACAACCAGTGATTAGTTAGACTGGATATCACAACAGATTATTGGCACAGTTAGACTAGGAGATATCACAACCAGTGATTATTGGCACAGTTAGACTAGGAGATATCACAACCAGTGATTATTGGCACAGTTAGACTAGGAGATATCACAACCAGTGATTATTGGCACAGTTAGACTAGGAGATATCACAACCAGTGATTATTGGCACAGTTAGACTACGAGATATCACAACCAGTGATTATTGGCACAGTTAGACTAGGAGATATCATTGGCACAACCAGTGATTATTGGCACAGTTAGACTAGGAGATATCACAACCAGTGATTATTGGCACAGTTAAACTAGGAGATATCACAACCAGTGATTATTGGCACAGTTAGACTAGGAGATATCACAACCAGTGATTATTGGCACAGTTAGACTAGGAGATATCACAACCAGTGATTATTGGCACAGTTAGACTAGGAGATATCACAACCAGTGATTACTGGCACAGTTAGACTAGGAGATATCACAACCAGTGATTATTGGCACAGTTAGACTAGGAGATATCACAACCAGTGATTATTGGCACAGTTAGACTAGGAGATTTCACAACCAATGATTATTGGCACAGTTAGACTAGGAGATATCACAACCAGTGATTATTGGCACAGTTAGACTAGGAGATATCACAACCAGTGATTATTGCACAGTTAGACTAGGAGATATCACAACCAGTGATTATTGGCACAGTTAAACTAGTAGATATAACAACCAGTGATTATTGGCACAGTTAGACTAGGAGATATCACAACCAGTGATTATTGGCACAGTTAGATTAGGAGATATCACAACTAGTGATTATTGGCACAGTTAGACTAGGAGATATCACGACAGGTGATTTCTGGCACAGTTAGACTAGGAGATATCACGACAGGTGATTACTGGCACAGTTAGACTAGGAGATATCACAACATGTGAATCCTGGCACAGTTAGACTTAGGAGATATCACAACCAGTGATTATTGGCACAGACTAGGAGATATTACAACAGGTGATTATTGGCACAGTTAGACTAGGAGATATTACGACAGGTGATTACTGGCACAGTTAGACTAGGAGATATCACGACAGGTGATTACTGGCACAGTTAGACTAGGAGCTTTAACAACATGTGATTACTGGCACAGTTTGACTAGGAGCTTTCACAACATGTGATTACTGGCACAGTTAGACTAGGAGATATCACAAGTGATTATTGATACAGTTAGACCAGGGGATATAACCACATGATTTCTAATACACTGGCACATTAGTGGCAAAATATTCAACACATAAAGTGTAAAACACAACATGTTATATTTTTTTCACAACTTACAGTTCAATATTTATGTTTTCTACAACTTACAAAATGAATGTTTTCAACAACTCATAATTTTGTATCTGACAATGTTTTCCACAAATTAGAACCTTACTACATTTTCCACAACTTACAACTCTGTACCTGACAATGTTTTCCACAACTTTGAACAGGGCTTTATTTTTTGCAGCTTACAATTCTAAATCTGTCAATATTTTCCACAACTTAAAACTTGACTACATATTTCATAACTTACAATTGCTAAAACTGACAAGGTTCTCCTTAACTTACAATTAGATCTTACAATGTTTTCCACAACTTAAAATTATATACATAAATGTTCTACAACTTACAACTCTATATCTGACAATGTTTTCCCTAACTTAGAATTCTACATATAACTGTTTCCTATAACTTACAATTCTATATCTCACAATGTTTCCTACAATTTAAAATTCTATATCTCACAATGTTTTCCACACCTTAGAATTCTAAACATAACTGTTTTCTACAACTTACAGTTTGATGTTTGACAACGTTTTCTATCTGGTTGGCCAAATCAATTGTACTGTTTGCTTCTGCTTGAGGTTTCAAGGACAACTGTGAGGCCTGTGGATCAACGTAAATGCATGACAAACAAACATGGATGTGTTATGGATATCAGTTAGTTAATCCACAGCTTATCCTCATTCCATATTGAGCAATCCAGTCAAAAGCTCTGGAATCCCCTCCTTAGTATATCCATTAGTGAGTAGTGACTGATAATACCAGTCTATACTAAATATACAACAGATAATAACAGAGTACCTGATCTGGACTATACCTGTACAAGCCAACAGATAAAAGATGTATCTGATCATGTCTGTATCTACACTAACAAGCCAACAGATAAAAGAGTGCATCTGATCATGTCTGTGTCTACACTAACAAGCCAACAGATAAAAGATTGTATCTGATCATGTCTGTATCTACAATAACAAGCCAACAGAGAAAAGATGTATCTGATCATGTCTGTATCTACACTAACAAGCCAACAGATAAAAGAGTGTATCTGATCATGTCTGTGTCTACACTAACAAGCCAACAGATAAAAGAGTGCATCTGATCATGTCTGTATCTATACTAACAAGCCAACAGATAAAAGAGTGTATCTGATCATGTCTGTATCTACACCACTAACAAGCCAACAGATAAAAGAGTGTATCTGATCATGTCTGTATCTACACTAACAAGCCAACAGATAAAAGAGTGCATCTGATCATGTCTGTATCTACACCACTAACAAGCCAACAGATAAAAGAGTGCATCTGATCATGTCTGTATCTACACTAACAAGCCAACAGATAAAAGAGTGCATCTGATCATGTCTGTATCTACACTAACAAGCCAACAGATAAAAGAGTGCATCTGATCATGTCTGTGTCTACACTAACAAGCCAACAGATAAAAGAGTGTATCTGATCATGTCCGTATCTACACTAACAAGCCAACAGATAAAAGAGTGTATCTGGTCACGTCTGTATCTACACTAACAAGCCAATAGATAAAGTGCATCTGATCATGTCTGTATCTACACTAACAAGCAAACAGATAAAAGATGTATCTGATCATGTCTGTATCTACATTAACAAGCCAACAGATAAAAGAGTATCTGATCATGTCTATATCTACACTAACAAGCCAACAGATAAAAGAGTGTATCTGATCATGTCTGTATCTACACCACTAACAAGCCAACAGATAAAAGAGTGTATCTGATCATGTCTGTATCTTACACTAACAAGCCAACAGATAAAAAAGTGTATCTGATCATGTCTGCATCTACACTAACAAGCCAACAGATAATAGAGTGCATCTGATCATGTCCGTATCTATACTAACAAGCCAACAGATAAAAGAGTGTATCTGATCATGTCTGTATCTACACTAACAAGCCAACAGATAAAAGAGTGCATCTGATCCTATCTCTATCTACACTAACAAGCCAACAGATAAAAGAGTGTATCTGATCACGTCTGTATCTACACTAACAAGCCAACAGATAAAAGAGTGTATCTGATCATGTCTGTATCTACACTAACAAGCCAACAGATAAAAGAGTGTATCTGATCACGTCTGTATCTACACTAACAAGCCAACAGATAATAAAGTGCATCTGATCATGTCCGTATCTAATCTAACAAGCCAACAGATAAAAGAGTGTATCTGATCATGTCTGTATCTACACTAACAAGCCAACAGATAAAAGAGTGTATCTGATCATGTCTGTATCTATACTAACAAGCCAACAGATAAAAGATGTATCTGATCATGTCTGTATCTACAATAAGAAGCCAACAGATAAAAGAGTGTATCTGATCATGTCTGTATCTACAATAAGAAGCCAACAGATAAAAGATGTATCTGATCATGTCTGTATCTACAATAAGAAGCCAACAGATAAAAGATGTATCTGATCATGTCTGTATCTACAATAAGAAGCCAACAGATAAAAGATGTATCTGATCATGTCTGTATCTACAATAAGAAGCCAACAGATAAAAGATGTATCTGATCATGTCTGTATCTATACTAACAAGCCAACAGAGAAAAGATGTATCTGATCATGTCTGTATCTACAATAAGAAGCCAACAGATAAAAGAGTGTATCTGATCATGTTTTCAGTGAAAAAAATAAATACAATTGCCCAGTGCTCCCATTTGCCGGAAAAACATCATCATGTTCCATGTCAAAAAGCAGATGTGGTCATTTGCTATCCTGCACTATCAACAGAATCACTGATCGTTTGGTGTTCTTGTAAGGGATATTTCAGAGTAGCCAGCTGTCCTGTGTGGGTAAGGGATGTTTCAGAGTAACTAAATTCTGTGTCTGACAATGTTTACCACAACTCACAATTCTATATCTGACAATGTTTTCCACAACTCATTAGAACTCGACTATTATTTTCCACAATTACAATGTTTTCCACAATTTAGAGCCTGACTACATTTTCCACAACTCACAATTCTATATCTGACAATGTTTTCCACAACTCATTAGAACTCGACTATGTTTTCCACAATTACAATGTTTTCCACAATTTAGAGCCTGACTACGTTTTCCACAACTTATATAATTATGTCTGATAATGTTTTCCACAATTCAGAATTATATGCATAACTGTTTTCTACAACTACAAATGATGTGTGATTATCTTGTCTGTGAATCCCACCTAGCATGTCATGTTTTCTCCTACTTTCTATATTTGGTCTGAACATGCTGAAAAAATCTGGCTTCCCTAGTATCTGGCTTTTTTGGAAGTAACAGACTCTTGCCCCACCCCTTGCGTGTAGCCTACCATTAAGGTATTTATCTAGTGGCATTTTTCCGTCCTCTTTCTATCAATTTTGCTAGTCCCCAAAATTTGGAGTCTATTCCATACCTTGAAATATTCCTTTTGTAATCCCAAAAAAAAAAAAAAAAAAAAAAGAATATATATATAATGGTTATTGGTTTTGAGTGTGTGGAGGGGTGGGGGGGGGGGGGGGGGGGGGGGGTTGCCTTTCTTTCCTCGCCAAGAACGTGCCATTCTAAACAATACATGGAAGTCAGAGTGACTTTGCTTGAAGTATCCAACTCAGAATAAACAACTGTAACATTAAAGAAATACTGTTATACAACGATGTGTTTGAAAATGACAGCAGGAATGACATTTTAACTAGAGTGTTTAAAACAAAAATATCCAAGAAGATTCTTGCAAATGTTTTGGCTGAACAAGATCACAAATGAGGAATTGAGGAAGAAAACAAAATGTTCATCATTGGCAAATATTACTAAAGGATACTTTGGCAAGGACAGCCTCAGATGGGAAAGCAGAAATGGAAATGTCCCCGTGTGGGTTACCGAGCCCCATTGTGGAGAAAAGACAAGTAGACCCACTGCCTCCCCAACAAGCAAATTGAAAGAGTTGACTAATTCTGAGCTTCCTTTGAAGCCAAAGTGCATCTGCCCAAGAGGCAAGAAACCAACTGTCTGTATACATATCAATCAGATCTGTAAACAATGGAGTGGCACAAGCAACATTCAGGTTCTTGAAGAGGACTAGAGTCCAGAAGTGGATGAGCAACCAGACCATTCATCTGGAGTTTACAGTCAGCGAACATGAAGAAGAAGAAGCAGACTAAGATGAAAAAGAAAGAGGAGGAGGAGAAGAAGAAGAGGAAGAAAAGGAAATAAAGGAATGTAAACTGAAATAGGATGCCATAGAAAGAAAAGCAGCAGACGGCAGCAGTGTAGAGAATACAGATCAGTGTTTTTTATGCCATGCCCCACCTAAGCATTTCTAAAATTCTCATGCCCTTTTTGCAACACATACAAAATGTTTAATATTAAAAAATTGGATAGTTCACTGATGAAACTTAAATGATAGGTCTAACTAGGGCCAATCTGGCTTGAGTTCAGATGAACATGGCAGAATTTATCTGACATTTTCCAGCTTGGCCTGGTGGACATAATGTAAGTTAAGGTTATCTATTTCGACTCGGGTGGTTTCAACTATGACCGCTCTTAGTGTCTATTAGTAATATCACAAATTAATCAAGTAACAGAAAGTTTTGTGAACGGCACTTCTTTCTATGAGTGCCGTTCACAAAACTTTCTGTTACTTGATTAACTCATAATATTTAACGGCCTCAAATGGTTCCCCTCTTTGTTTATTTATAGTAATATCACAGCAACGAACATGGCAGACAGAAGTTACCTATACCAGACACTTACCCAGCTGGAGTAGTGACCGAGAGTTGCCATACTGTTAATTTGAACTTAAACTTTGGATGAGTCCATTTTTAAATTGCCCCCTGACAATCAAACCGCCCCCTCTGGGATGTGGGCTCCATGTTAAGAAACACTGATACTGACAGATCTCGATCAAGACTGTCTAAACCATCAAGACACTGTCTATTCTATCAAGACACTGTCTATTCTATCAAGACACTGTCTATACTATCAAGACACTGTCTATTCTATCAAGACACTGTCTATACTATCAAGACTGTCTATACCATCAAGATTCTGTCTATACTATCAAGACACTGTCTATACTATCAAGACACTGTCTATACTATCAAGACACTGTCTATTCTATCAAGACACTGTCTATACTATCAAGACACTGTCTATACTATCAAGACACTGTCTATACTATCAAGACACTGTCTATACTATCAGGACACTGTCTATACTATCAAGACACTGTCTATACTATCAAGACACTGTCTATACTATCAAGACACTGTCTACACTAACCAGCTTGGCAGAGACATCATCAGTGGACACCTCCTTCTCTGGCTTGAAGGAGTGGTCCTGTATAGCCATGGGAGGAGGCATCTCGATATCCTGGGCAGGCTCCTCCTCCTCATTGGTCGAGTCCAGGGCTGCCTTCTGTGCTACAACACAAATCTGTGGTGGCTGGTCAGCAGTAGATGTGGTCTCTTTAGCAGCAGCAGCAGCAACAGCAGCAGCAGCAGAATCCTGCAATCATACAAAACATATTTTGTTATAGTTTGTTTTTATAATCTGTTGTTGTAACCTGTTGTTGTCACCTGCTGTTGCAAGATGTTATAACCCATTGTTGTAACCTGTTGATACAATTTGCTGTAATCTATTGTTATAACCTGTTGTTATAATCTGTTGTTGTAAGTGGTTAAAACCTGTTGCAACCTTTTACAACATCTTGTTATAACTTGTTGTAATCTATTGTTGTAATCATTTGTTGTTATAATCTGCTGTTTTATTAAAAAATCTGACAAAAGTCATAATAATGATGCAAAGTTGGGCGTTGAAGCCCTGCTGTAACCCGAACCATTTGTTTTCTTTAATCCCACTCCAGCTCAGCTACCCAAAGGTTTCACACCTAGTAACTCAAAGAGCGCCTGTTTGGATGCAAATCCAGCAGTAGCAAATCATAGAAATGTTAAAAACCATTACAAGTTTTATTACGGTACCCTACTGCTATACAAAGTAGCCTGCTGTTCTGTGTGGATAAGGAATGTTTCTGAGTAACCAGGTGTCCTGTGTGGGTGAGTAATTTTTCAGAGTAACCAAATGTCCTGTGTGGGTAAGGAATGGTTCAGAGTAACCTCCTGTCTTGTGTGGGTAAGGAATGTTTCAGAGTAACCAAATGTCTTGTGTGGGTAAAGGATATTTCAGAGTAACCAGCTGTCATGTGTGGGTAAGGGATGTTTCAGAGTAACCTAACTTCTATATCTGACAATGTTTTCCACAACTCATTAAAACCTAACTATGTTTTCCACAATTTAGAGCCTGACTACGTTTTCCACAACTTACAATTCTATATCTGACAATGTTTTCCACAACTCATTAAAACCTAACTATGTTTTCCACAATTACAATGTTTTCCACAATTTAGAGCCTGACTACGTTTTCCACAACTTACAATTCTATATGTGACAATGTTTTCCACAACTTATAATTATATCTGATAACGTTTTTCACAATTCAGAATTATATGCATAACTTTTTTTCTACAACTACAAATGATGTGTGATTATCTTGTCTGTGAATCCCACCTAGCATGTCATGTTTTCTCCTACTTTTTACATTTGGTCTGAACATGCTGAAAATATCTGGCTTCCCTAGTATCTGGCTTCTTTGGAAGTAACAGCGTCTTGATTTTTTCCTAGTGGTTATATATGTAATTTGGCAGCTCCTCAAAACCTTCTGGTACCTGACAGTTAAGGAATCATGCAGAAGGAAAGTAGAAATGGAAATGTCCCCTTGTGGGTTACCAAGTCCCATTGTGGAAAAATTAAGAATACTCTTGTATGTTTCAAAGTAACTGGCTGTCTTGTGTGGGTAAAGGTTTTGTCCAAGTAACATATTGTCTTGTGTGGGTAAAGTTTTTGTCCAAGTAACATGTTATATTGTGCGGGTGGGGGTTTCGTCCAAGTAATATATTGTCTTGTGTGGGTAAGGGTTTTGTCAGAGTAACCTAATGTCTTTTGTGGACAGAGGGTTTTGTTAAAGTAACCGATTGTCTTGTGCAGGTAGGTTTGTGTGTGTCAAAGTAACCTGCTGTCTCTAGAGGCTAGAAGGTTTTGTCAAAGTAATCTACTGTCTCTAGAGGCTAGAAGGTTTTGTCAAAGTAACCTGCTGTCTCTAGAGGCTAGAAGATTTTGTCAAAGTAATCTACTGTCTCTAGAGGCTAGAAGGTTTTGTCAAAGTAATCTGCTGTCTCTAGAGGCTAGAAGGTTTTGTCAAAGTAATCTGCTGTCTCTAGAGGCTAGAAGGTTTTGTCAAAGTAATCTGCTGTCTCTAGAGGCTAGAAGGTTTTGTCAAAGTAATCTGCTGTCTCTAGAGGCTAGAAGGTTTTGTCAAAGTAATCTGCTGTCTCTAGAGGCTAGAAGGTTTTGTCAAAGTAATCTGCTGTCTCTAGAGGCTAGAAGGTTTTGTCAAAGTAATCTGCTGTCTCTAGAGGCTAGAAGGTTTTGTCAAAGTAATCTGCTGTCTCTAGAGGCTAGAAGGTTTTGTCAAAGTAATCTGCTGTCTCTAGAGGCTAGAAGGTTTTGTCAAAGTAATCTGCTGTCTCTAGAGGCTAGAAGGTTTTGTTAAAGTAATCTACTGTCTCTAGAGGCTAGAAGGTTTTGTCAAAGTAATCTGCTGTCTCTAGAGGCTAGAAGGTTTTGTCAAAGTAATCTGCTGTCTCTAGAGGCTAGAAGGTTTTGTCAAAGTAATCTGCTGTCTCTAGAGGCTAGAAGGTTTTGTCAAAGTAATCTACTGTCTTGTGGTGGGGGGGTGGGGGGGGGGGGGGGGGGGGGGGGGGGGGGCAGTTTTTTTTTTTAAAAAGTACCTGGGGGGGGGGGGGGGGGGGGGGGGGGGGGGGGGGGGGGGGGGGGGGGGGGGGGGGGGGGGGGGGGGTGGGGGGGGGGGGGGGGGGGGGGGGGGGGGGGGTTTGCAATGAAGTAAGATAACCCACAACAGAGGAGAAACAGCTGAATGACTTTAAAAAAAAACACTACAGCAAAACCAGGGACAGCCAGGAAACTGCAACAATATCATCCATAACTCAAGGATGTAAACAAATAAACAGCACAGGGAAAAAAAAACATAAGTAATGTCAACAGGAAGAAAGAATCAGAACTTAAATAAAGCAATAGGCATCAAACAACATCAGAGTTTTAACATCTGGGAAGAAAATTCACAGAGATGGGAAATTTAACATGGAGAATTTAACATGGAGAATTTAACATGGAGAATTTAACATGGAGAATTTAACATGGAGAATTTAACATGGAGAATTTAACATGGAGAATTTAACATGGAGAATTTAACATGGAGAATTTAACATTTGATGCAGTGAAGCAAACTAAGTACTGCAACAGATCCCTCATTCCCCCCCCCCCCCCCCCCCCAAATTTTTTTTTTAACAACCCAAGACAATCCTGATCAGCATAAACATCTCCTACACAGCATATTCAATCCCATCTATGCTAACAGTGCCAGACATAGTCACTCTTAACAAACCAGAAAAGACAATTAGTAACCATGGAAACAGGATGTCTGACAGTGGCTTCAGGGGTAACCAGAATAAAGAGTCAGAAAATCAGGTGCTAGGAGCAAAAGTCAGCTTAGGACAAATACTAAATTACATATAAAAAAGGCAATAAAATGGTCTGCCCACTTACTTGCGATGTCATTCCATACAAGACATGCACTCAAAGAGGAGAAAGACATAAAGAAAAATGCAGACCAAGAACAAAATGCAAAGATAACATCAGAGAAACACTATACACCTGTTTCAAGTGTTTATAATCGAAGCAGCCAGAAGAGCCAGAACCAGGACCTTGATCTTCCCTGACACATCAAGTGGCAAAAGAAGAAGTGGAGAAGCAGCAGCAAAATCTGACATTTCTCTCCACACCTGAAGTTATATCAGAGGAACTAAGGCAAAAACCAAAACCTTGCATTTCTGTAAACATCCGCAGCAATATGAGAGAAAGAGAAGAAGAAGCAGTCAACCTTTTATCTCCCTCCACAGGCAAATTAGTAAACAGAAAGTGATGAAGAAACAGCAAGCCTTCCCCCTCCCCCATCTACACCTAAAGTAGTTTAAGAAAAAAAGTAGTGATGACGAAGCTGCAAACTTTTTATCTCCATCCACACCAGTAAAAGAGGAAGTAACGACGAAGTTGCAAACATTTTATCTCCATCCACACCCACATTAGTAATAGAGGAATTGACGACGAAGCTGCAAACCTTTTATCTCCATCCACACCCACATTAGTAAAAGAGGAAGTAATGACGAAGCTGTAAACCTTTTATCTCCATCCACACACACATTAGTAAAAGAGGAAGTGATGACGAAGCTGCAAACCTTTTATCTCCATCCACACCCTCATTAGTAAAAGAGGAAGTGATGACGAAGCTGCAAACCTTTTATCTCCATCCACACACACATTAGTAAAAGAAGAAGTGATGACAAAGCTGCAAACCTTTTATCTCTATGCACACACACATTAGTAAAAGAGGAAGTGATGAGAAAGCAAGAAACCTTTAATCTCCATCAGTACCCAAAGTAGTAAAAGGGAAGTGAAGAAGAAGATGCTCACCGACTTCTCAAGAGAGTCTTGGCGTATCTTGGCTTTGTTCCTACGACATGGACACATAGCATACAGCACCCAGGAGATGCTCATGTCCATGTCTAGATGTCCATGTCTATCTCCTCATTAGAATCTTTAATTTGCATCTGCGGCAACACATTCACCTTCTGTTTACTACATCATGAGGCTATTTTTTTTATCTGCTAGTCTCCCTTTGTTACTGTGGTACAACATATAGGCTACTCCACACAGAATGCTACACATAGGTATCCCAGACTGTATGTCTGTACACACATAACACAGACCCGCAGCGCACAGCTTCAAAAACACAAATCAAATATAGGACACAACTTCTCACAAGATTTCAAACAGTGACAGCAATTTGAAGCTACTGGCATCAGCACTGGCATACAAACGCATCTCATACACATATCATGCCAGGATATGCAATATTCTATAGGGCATTTTATAGTTTCCCTGTAGTTTACTCATCGCAAGACCACACTCCCTAGCTGTCCACCGAGAGACTGTCGGCTGGGGCATTTGATAGTTTCCCTGTAGTTTACTCATCGCAAGACCACACTCCCTAGCTGTCCACCGAGAGACTGTCGGCTGGGGCATTTGATAGTTTCCCTGTAGTTTACTCATCGCAAGACCACACTCCCTAGCTGTCCACCGAGAGACTGTCGGCTGGGGCATTTGATAGTTTCCCTGTAGTTTACTCATCGCAAGACCACACTCCCTAGCTGTCCACTGAAAGACTGTTGGCTGGGGCATTTGATAGTTTCCCTGTAGTTTACTCATCGCAAGACCACACTTCCTAGCTGTCCACCGAGAGACTGTCGGCTGGGGCATTTGATAGTTTCCCTGTAGTTTACTCATCGCAAGACCACACTCCCTAGCTGTCCACTG